TTTAAGTAGCTCGCACTCTCTGAAATATGTCAACGTTTTGTATGCTGCTATTTCCATGGAAACAGGTATTGGCTCAGCAGAAATGGCATAGGGATTTCAAAATTACATTTTAAAAAACAAAGTCAAGATAGGTTAGTCATTCTCATTTTTAGTCATAAACACCAACAGTGGTGCTGAACAGAACCTGTCTTTTGAATATATTAGGTATAGTCATGCAAAACAACAGATTGGTGATTAATATTTTAGATTAATGTTTTTGAAAAGTGAGCTAGTGTTTGATAGACCTTTATTAGGCAAACATGCATTTATTGCATTTTGTTCAGCACATGCTCTTCTATGTACTTGAAGGCAGTCATGGTTTTATCACTTCTTTAGGCCTCCACCTTCCTCAAAAGAGGTGAAATATGTATTGGATGAGAACTACAGATTTCAGCTAGTTGGCAAACTACGCTTTTAAAAAAAAACACAAATTGGCTCCTGAAACACAGAACTGCTAATTTGTGAGTTTGTAATCTTTAGCAGCATGTAAAAATGAAGCCAACCCCATTTTGGGGGGCTATTTTGTTTGCCTTTGGGGACATTTGCTTTAGGAATAGCCCACTTACAGCCAAAGTAGTTACCTCAGTTCAGCATTGCTACAGCATTAAAAAATAGGATTAAACTCATGAGACTTGTTGCTTCCCAGGATATTGGACAAAGAACACATCTCACTTGAAGTGGAGGACAGGGGGCTCCAGGAATTCCTGAAAAATGGAAGATGCCTCTATTTGTTGCCTTGCATCTTCAGCTTGATTATTCAGACATTTATTTTTCAGCTCAAGCAGTGGTTAGATGTTGCAGCATCCTGCTGCACACCAGGGCTGTGAGGGAAGAACCCAGTGTGAACACAGTCCAGAAGAGACTGCTGGCATTGTGTGAGGAGGAGGAGGGCAGTGAGGCAGAACGGCAGGCCTGAATGAGAGAAAGGGACTGACCAGGAGAGTGGACGAAGCACCAGGAGCCATGTGTGCATGAGAGGGGAGAGAGCTCAGAAAACAGCTGTAACAAAGCCACCTACAAACAAAACAAAACAAAAAAGCAAGGAACACTGCTTTCAAAACATTGGCAGTTTCCCAAAAGAACACAGACTTTTTTTTTTTTTTTTTTTAACTGAAGTGGAATTTGTTTGACAGAACAATTCCCCTTAGAAATAAAATTCTTTAAACATTGGGTCACTAAATAATGAAGGGTAAAGTGCTTAGTGACCTAAATTAGATTCCTTAAAAGGATACCCACTAAGATCAAACTGTGTTTCTATATGGGCTGTACTTAAGCCAAATACTTTCCCAAAACACAGAGGCAAAACAAGCCTACAGTTCATGCGTACAGTTTGCTGTCTGACTCTCCCAGTGCTTTTCAAAAGGGAGCTAGTAGCATTTGCCTGTTGTCAAAACTTCGCTGAGTGCTGTGGGTGCACCAGCAGCAGCACTGCTCCTTCTGCCAAGGAGACACAACCAAACCAGCGATGAAATTTTCTTCCAAGACAGACACTTGTGTCTCTCCTTCATAACTCTTCCTTGGATGATGATGACAGAAGCTGTAAAACTCTGTCAATTTCTCAAGCGATAGAACAGAAAAACACAAGAAGTAAGTAAGTGTACTGGTTGACACCAAGTGTCCATCTGGGCTGGTATCTTGCCATTTTACCATCTTCGAACAGTACAAAGCCCATTAATTTTTCTCCTCTCGCCTAACCAATTTTAACCTGTAAGGTGGGTGCAGACTTAGGGATGTTTCCTGGGAAAGGGAGATGCAGAGTATTTTGTTACCTTTCAGTCACTGCAGTGTCACAAACCAAGCCCTTTGCTGTGGAGGTGCAGCTGGTGCCATCTGAACTACCTAAGCCTTGCTGAAACCACATGCAGACAACAGCAAGGCAGGGGTGTATCGGGAGCTTTCTGTGGTCCCTTCCAGGCCAGTTCATGGCAGAAGTGAGGCAACCAATGTGGCAGTTAAAGGGCAAGGGTTTAGCAAGGTGCTGAAATCTAGGATGAATGTTTTAATTTTTACTATCATTAGACCAAAAGAAACTTAGTGTGGGACTATTCTAAATACAAAGTAAGAGACAGCCTGTGGCATACAAGAAAACAACAAGAGAAGTTACACATAATAAGAAATTGATTATGCATGTAATAGTTACAGCAAGACTATGATTATAAAATTCACTTATTTCCCAACATCAGTTATCTAATGATTTTGTCTAGAAATGCTGGATGATGTCATTCTGTATCATATACAGAAGTAACCTATGTACAGGGAAAATCAGAATGAACAGAAACACGGTAAGGAATCCTTCACATCATTTACGATCTCACTCAAGATGGTCAACACATAAAGAATGGTCCCCGAGTGCTAACAGAGCATTCTGCTTTTTATCTACAAGGGGTGGTTTCAGTCTGTTGTTTTCAAAAGCACCACACTTGTACAGATTCAAAGAAATAACATGAAATGGTTTAATATACTAGAAGACAAGAAGCTAAAATAAAATTTCATTCTGTATCTCCCCATCACATTACTGGGAAAGAAAGGTAACACCAGGCTGTCAGTACAGTCACAAGATCTGTTGAAAACTGAGCTGCGTGTGAACATCAGCATCTGCCCCAAGTATATATTCCTCACTGTAAACCAGGTTAATTTGTTTCGTAACAACAGAAAGTTGCTGACACCCATGCAGGAGCATATATGTAGGCATTTATCAAAGGGCAGCTCATTTGTCAGAAACTTCACCTCAGGCACCTTCTCAGTAACTTGTCTGACCCAAAGTCTCACAGGCTCCAAGGGGTGGAAGCAGCAGGTCTAGCACACACACCACAGACAGGACTGGCCACAGCAGCTTTTTTACAGCACCAGAGGTTACATGGTGACAGACTTAAGGCTTTCTACCTGCCAAGTTATTCTTACATACCTGTAAAAGCAGCTCAAAATTTGTTGCCTGTGTTATGCATGTTCCCACCGAGTGCACAGGTACTAGAGTTGAAGCAGACTTTTGCCTTCGCAATAGCCGGGGCGCACATGCTGGTACTGCCCTGCCTGTGACAAAAACAAGCTGCAAGGCACATAGCAAGTTCCTCGTCTCCACCACTGCCCCCAGAGCTGGCCTATAGGAAACAGCTGTAACCACTGCTGATAGGTCAAAATGCCTAGACTTCTGCAAAGCCCTAAGTTAATCCAATTTTTAAAAGTCAAAAGAAAAAAAGCCAGAAGCCTCACATACTTTAAACAACTTCATTTATTAGAACCCATAAATGTTGCTTTCATTAGAAGAATCAAGTTAACACCTAATTCAAGGTGAAATTACATTTTAAGACAAAAAAATTGTAGTGCTTAAATACAGTATTTACTGAAGACTGCTATTCTTAGAATCCTGGTACAAGTTCATACTCATTGTGTGGTATTAGTATGGTATCTAATTCTGAGCAGGTTCAGCATTTTATTTTCAACTGAAAGTACATCACACCATGCAAAGGGCTATTCCCCCCCATCTGCCTCCCAGAAGTATGGAATGAAGAGCTCAAGCCTTAAGTAAAAAAAAACCTTAAGATGCATCACCAGAATCTGAAATTTTTATTTCTTGTATATTTAAGTCTGATTAGTAGAAGATCCCTGTAGCAAAAAAAAAAAAAAGTTAAAAAGAATTGTATGACTGTTGAAATTTATTTAAAAGGTTCACTGAATTGGCATTGAGCAAACCTTAGCTGTTACTTCAAACTGGAACCTGAGTACAGAGATAAAGTACAATCACCCATGTCATTGGCCTTATAATTTCTTTTCACAGTAGCCCTTTTGGAGAAGCAGGTTGGGTTAATAACCGTAATTTCCACTACTGTAGACCAACAGAGTCATTTCCATAAAAATCAGAAAGTGCTTAAACACAGAATACAAAAAGTATCTAACTTACAAACTTTCCGATATAGAAAATCAAAACATGGAACATGGCAGATGTTTAGAGATCTGTATCAAAGTATTAAATTGTAAATTAACTTGAGTGACTGTGACACAGGATGGATGCTCTCAAGACAGTGAAACAGTGCATACCACGTATTTACCAAGAGTAGGAGTTGTTCCTTCCATTAAGGTTCCTGCAAAGCTGATGTAGACTTGCCTGTTTCTCACTAACACACTTGCTCTCTTTAACACATACACAAAGATTTCCTATAAGCTGTGCTGAATTATTTATATTACTTTTTAAAATAAGCTATTAGTTACACAACTTTTTCAGGATGTATCAAATTATTAAAAATCCTAATATAACCGATTTCCAGCTCTAGCTACTAGATTTGGTCACTGTATATGAGAATTAAAATGGTACTTGCTTCCGAAGACCGTTACAGCCTTTCCTCTGTTACATTAAGGAAGGAGCAATTTTTTAAACATTCAGTTTTCATTCTCAACTGATAGCTCACCTGCAAAATACAAAAACACAGCACTCATGAGAAAAGCAGTATTTTTGCTCATACAGGTATTACTGTAGAAAAGGAGTCCTTTGGCTGTACATTGTTTCCACAGTGTATTTGTTACATGAGATACAAACTGTACAAGTTCTCCAGTTTACAAAGTTTTCTAAATTGCAGAAACAATTCAGCCCATATTTATAATATCGGTTTTAAATGTAAAGATTATTACAGATAAGGTACAGTCTAATTGGCTCAATGTAACAACAAAAATGTAGTTTTAATACAATTTGCAATAGTACAACTATGTACATATGTACAGAACTGTTTCCTTCTGTTACGTCACTGACTTTGAGTATACTCATCACTTTTTATTATCAGCTTCCTTTAAAGTAAGAAACACAGAAGTAAAAATGGTTCAGTTTTGCAGCACTTCAAGTTCCTCAGTTGAGATCTCTCCTCATCCACATTTCCTGCTTAATTTAGGCCTTAAAGAACACCATCACTGAAGCGTGGCTTGCCATAATCAACGAGGTCATTTTGTAGATCTCTTTCTTCATCATCTGCAATTAAAATATTCAGATCAAATCTGATGTGATACTACTGGAAAAAGCGTTTAAACAGACTTTTCCCAGAACATGCTGCTAATGCATACATCCACACTGAATTGGCCTTGTCTGGTTATGGGAATGGAGTCATTGGGGAAAATATGGAGGACGCATATGGGCCTGCGATTACAAGTCCAGCTGTCAGCACTCTGGGACAATATCTTTGGCTTTATTGCAACCATGTTTCAGTGATTTATTGACTTAAGAGATTGTAGAACTAGTTAAACTTACTACTGTAATTTGAGAATCTTCCCAAAAAGACTTCAACCTCTCCCACTAAAATCCAACTACAAAGTCAATTACTTTGGCATGTTACATTGCCATTTTTTAACCCGTTCCAGAGTTAATACACTGCACAATTTTGCAAAGACTGGGTACCTGATGGGACTAGCACAGAGAAGTCAGCATGACCCCCTCCAGGCTAAGATAATACTTTTTCCACCTACTTCTCAGATTTGAAAGATGATACCTTCCACACAAACATGGCACAGCACATTTTTCAGTCATGAGATTTTTACTAATGCTGGAATTGACTTTGCTGTCAACATTTTTACATACTGCTACCTCGCATGTCAGACTTGAGGGTAAAATTTGAAGAGAAACTTTTAAAAATGTGAAAGGCAGCTCTCAACCTTTTCCAACCTCTTATCAAGGGAAATCCCTGTTCTCCCTCTCAGCACTGCTGAAGACTCAACAATACATTTTTCACCACTACTCTTCACAGCTGAAACAAACCCATCTAACCAGGCTCCTACGTGATAAAACACTCAGCCCGTCAGTCAAGATGTCTACTTGTGAATTGCAGAATAGCTGCGCACTCAGCCAGGGAACACACAGCAGGAGCTGAGAGCAGGGCAGGGGCAACGCATTGTAAGTGGCCACTTCAGGCACGCCACATCTTTCCCAGCTGTGCTTGGTTCGTCTTTACAATAGATTTACAGCTTTGCCCTTGACTGGAAGAATGAAGTTGTTTCATCTCATTTTTCAGATCCAGAATGACTCTCTCGCTCCACCACTCTACTCTGTCCTACTTCTTGACTTCTACTCCTTGGGTTTTGGTTTTTGAGCCTCATGGAAAATCGTAAAATTAAAACAAACTTGTGCATCCTCAGTATAACCATTTACTGTAGCACACACAAAAACATCCATCAAGAAAATGCACATTCAGTAATTTTTTTCAAGTGATGTTTTAAAACATATTATAATATTCTGCATTCTACCTGTGTGGGTCCCCAGCCTTCTTCCCTCAATAAGTGAAAAAGCCCTAAAACTTCAGTTTGTGTCAATTAATAAGCTCTTCCTGCATTTCAAAGCTGTGTTCCTTTATATTCAGGAAAGATGCTTGTTCACATGAATGGAAAGCAAAGTTAAAGTTTACTAAGTCTTCTACTAGATGATAAGCTGCCTGAAGCTCTTCAACACTTTAACAACAATTACTCATGAGCCTGCACGCGAGGTTGGTACCTGATGGTAACATACTCCCAACAGCAAAAGGCTGAAGCTTATCTACATGACACATGCTTTTGTTCGGTAAGAAACTACTAATACAGCATGTGGATATCACTTGATTTATATAATCCAGCCACCACAAAAACATGTTTGCTATAGTAGAAGCCAACAACTTTTAAATATCACCTTGCATTTCAAACAGGTAGACTGAAAGAAGGAATGCCAGATTAGATACTGACATTCACATGAGCATATCTCCCAAAGTTGTGTATTTTCCTCTGATAATTTCAGTCTAAGGCCCACACATTTCTAGTGGCAACAGAAAAACACGTTTAATTAAATTGCTTTGTTTGCACAAGCCACGTGCTTTGTTCTAGCCTGATGCAAAACCGTGTGATGTTTTTCTAATAGTTTTTAGACAGAAATTCAGGGTTTTTTTCCCCTTCCTAAACAATTGTAACCACTCTCCCTCCAAAACCCCACAATTCTACCCTCTCATACCCTGCAAACAAATTACTGTAAAGACTAAAGCAGACACTGTTTCTAAAATGCTACTTCTGGAAGTACCACTTGCCATGCTGCTTGACTTGTATCAAATCAAGTCAACAAGTTATTAGGAAACCACATAACAAAGGGCTTGGAAAAATAAGTCTGAGGTAGTAACATACACTGCTCAGACTGTTCTTCATGAAAAGGCTTCCAGAAGTCACTCTTTTGTCTTTACTCCCAGATATTAAATCCATTATGCCTATACAGATATACAGAGGGGTTGATCAGAAAAATTATTTTCGCCAAGTCCAAATTTAAAGCCACCAGAGCAGTGAACTGACAGGTACCACATGTAAATGGGAAACAGTTTTATGAGGCCATTTGCAGTTAGAGCTCTTACTTTTTCAAATATCCCTTGCATATCAAGCTACATAAGCACAATCTCTACAGTTTTTAACAACTTTCCACCACTTGCTACTATATCATACCCACCCTTTTGGAAGTGGCATACAGGAACGCTGTTCACGTTACTGGTAACAGTTTACAGCATACACGTTATTAACTCTTGCTACCTAAAGCCATTAGTTTCCCTGTAAAGGCCACCATAGCAATGTATTCATAAGCAAACCGGCATGGAGCTCTGAGGTACAGCAAGGGCCACGTCCCTCCACCACTTGGGCAGCCAACCTCCTCCCACACTCCTGGTCAGCAGCACAATGGCTGCAGGTAAAGACGAGCCCAAAAGCTGGGTGAAGTGAATGGTACAAATTAGCAGAGATTAAGTAACAGTTACGTGGCCTTGGTTAAACCTTCAAGAATGGTATTCTCAAGTCCAGTTAAGGAACTATGGTGGTGAGGAGCCAGGCATCACCCACTGCTTACTATGGGGAACTGAAATAAAAAAAATGAAATGCCCAACTCACACAACTGCTTCAATTTGCAGAGCAGAGCTTAGATGTACAAACGTGCACGACATACCATGCTTTCCTTTTCATTACAAGATCATAATGATTAGAAGCAAGTCTCCTACTTCCACAGCATCGACAGAAGCAGCTGTATATACTTTTGTACCTTCATTTAGAAACTAGCTGGTACAAGCAAATTACAACCCAGTAATAATCCATCCAGAGGAAGAGATGTTAGCAATCCAGAGTGACCAAATTCCGCTGCGAGTTTTGAGCAAGTGTAACAAAACAGGATACATCTTCTGAAGCAGCAACTGAGTTTTCATTTTTATCAGTAAGTTAATTAACTGCCCAGGGTTCTGATCCATACTTTTCTTTTGCTTGTTCATGAGTTTCAAACTACCAGCCCAGCCAAAAAATGCTTACACTGCATAGTTAGATGCAGGCCCACAGAAATCAGTTGCTTTTTATCAGCTTTTCCTATTAATTATGCTTGGAATACACCACTTAAATACATGTTCGAAAAACTACCAACTAAAAAAGTTGTATCATGAGGATCTAAATCTGGGTGCCTGTAGAACTTCAATCATGTCCATCCGTCCATCGTTGTCCTGTCCCGTCCCCATCCCCCCCCCTTTATTTTGCACTTTCCTTAATTGGAAATACTATATATGTTTAGGTATACATTTTTACCCTACAGACATGCAAGCCCTTCACAAAATATTACCAAACAACTAGATGGAGAATGGTAGACAGCGTGCCAGATACATGGCAGACAAGCAATGGAGAGGAGGGGCGATGCACTGAAACGCATGCAGAACAAGAGGTGGTGAGCATGCATATACAGGTATGAGGCTGGCACCAGATTAATGAGTTTTGAAGTTTGGTTAGCAAGGAAAACCAGAAGCCTGTTGAATCTGTGTACAATGTGCAAAAATTACACTTAGAATGGCTGAGGCCTCATTGCATACCACCTTAAGGCAGATGTGACAAAAGCAGTAGTCAAAAAAAACCCTATGCTTCTGTATTTGAAAATTGCCTTAGTAATGTCAAAGACTACATCCCAACTAGGTAGATACCAGATTTGGGGTTTAGACAAAACGATTTCTGAAATTTGAAGTGTCTTAATTTTCCTAGCAGAAACTGTATACATAACTGAAATAAGGTATCGAAATCCTCTCACTGGAAACTGCTGTAACATTGCTTTCAAACAGAGAGCAAGACCAAATTTTAAAGATTCCTAAAGCTTATTTATTCTATACTAGAAATTTGTGATCAGCTAAAAATAGCGAGGCTTTACACAAATTCAACAAGTAAACTCAGCGTGGATTTTATTACAATGGGATGGAGATAAGGCCCAAGCTCACCTTGGACGTCTTCTTCTCCACCATCACCATCCTCTTCCTCATTGTAAGCCAGCTCAGCCTGTTTGTCTGCCTCATACTCACCCACGTTACCATCATCCCCATTATAATCTGCCAGTTTAGAACCCTGCTGCGGATCAACAGGGGATTCATTCTCATCAAAGAATCGGCCTGTGAAGTAGGCAAAGGATTAAGTCAGAAGCAGAGAGGAAAGAAATAGGAAGATACTAAACGAAAGCAGACCACAGGTTAACATAGTTGGGGGTTTGTAGTAGTTTCAGCTGGAGGAGAAAGGGGGTAGAAGGGAGAGGGCTTGGGCAAGGGGAGAACAACAAGGCTTATGGAACACCTCCGTGCCAAAAGGATGTACTTGGTCATTCAGCATTTGGATCTTGTGAAATCTGATTTTATAAGCTTCGCTCTTTGGAGAAAAGAGCTAGAGTAAGCATCCAAACAAAACGCTCCATCTTTGATTACCTACAAACACGAATAAAAGTTTTCTTAAAATGCTGAGGAGCATGCAGGGGAAGTTTTTGTGTCTAGGCTTTTTTCTGTGGAGGACTGGCATTTTTCGACACACAATGGAGCAATATATTGCTGACTTTGTATACGGTAATGTCTGCAGAGCGTGTACCATACTGTCAAGGGTAAAAAAAAAATCTAGCAAAGATCTGCCTTGCATCTCTGAACTGATTTTTTTAACTACCTAATTAATTTGGCTTTACACTCTGGATTCCTGTTAAGCTTTAACCATTTTCAAAGTGTTCTGAATCCAGTATTTTTGTCTCCCAGCAAAGAATTAAGAACAGTTCCAGATACTGAAACAATGCACAAGAAAAACGACAATTAGCTGGAACTGTGAAATGACTAGACAGTCAACCAAGCACACAATGAAAGATTAATGGTGTGATGTCAAGTTCAGAGCTGGTGTTTAATGGGATATGGGGAGATCTGTTCAAGTCCAATGCAGTTCAGTCTGCTTGCCCATTGCTTAAAGAATGCAACACTGAGTCTGCAGAGTATACAAGTCTGGAGGGATTGTGTATAAATGAGAAAAACAGGATTAAAGTGTGATACAATCTTTACAGACTGGAAATGGACTGAGAAAAAAAAAATCTGCCAAGGCAGATGTTAAGTGATTCGCAGTGGAAGCAATTAAACAGGAAAGTAAAACTGGAGAATATTATTTCAACATTAGGATTAAAAGGAAGGTTGTGGTTACAATGGACAGATGTAAAAATGAAATTATTTCTTAAAACAATGAAAGCTATCATATGTGGCAGTATATAAAAATCAGGACAGAAACTATAACATAGTGCTTATCTGGATGGGGAAGAAAAGCAGAAGAATCACATCTAGTGCAGCTCAAATACACAGAAAGAGAAGTTTCAGTTATTTTCATAAAATAAGCAAGAAGAAACTATGATCTGTTTAGAAATCAGAAGTTTAATATATTAGTCATTCTCTGTTCATCTAAAATTGAGGAATCCTTGCTATTATTGTTTGTAGTTTTGGACACTGCATTATATATAAAAAGCAGACAGAACCATACAAGTCACACACATTAAATACAAAATAAGCTATGGAAAGACAACTGAATGCACTTAACTTACAGAAAAAACAAGCCTGCAGATATGCCAGAAATCCTGTGACAAACAAGTACTGAATAAATTTAAGCTGACAGAAGGAAAGGTTAAAATATTAGAAAAAGATCCTAGGAAACACAACAAGCCCATACAGGCCGGTGAGCTGAAGCTCACATGAGCAGCCCAGTGTACAGAACAGCCCTGGTGAGCTTGGGATTCCAGCACAGCTGCAGGATGCAGCTACTCTTTCAGTACAGGCACTTCATTCTGCTTTAAGCATTTGGTATTTTAGCTCAAGCTACTTCAAATCGAGGGAGGAAAGGCTGAGCACACAAGCCTCACCAGCAGTCATTTTGGGCTAAGTGGTCTTTACAGCAAGTCCACTGCCTGTGCATGCAGAGTCAGGTGTACAACAGATTTAGGCAGTAGATGACTTCTCACACGACATCAGGAGAACATCAATACTCTAATGCAAGGCACGTATCACGGTCTTGGGATACCAAGACTTCAGGCAAACACCGAAACAGGAGTCGCTGGTAGCTGCACCAATTGCTTTCTGAAACAGACAGGTAAGACCTGGAATCTTGATGGCATTGTGGATCTCAAATCACTCCAAACCTCGGTCAGTGGCTGTAACACAGGCATTGCATGGACTATTTGAGGCACAGTGGAGTATGTTGTCCTGAAGCACAAGAGGTTAGTGACAGCACGGAATGCCCCATAAGGATGTCACTGATACTAAAATCTGCAGGTAACATTTGCCAAAACGCATTCTGAATAGACATGGGATATTACTCAAAGCTGGATCCTTAGAAACACACTACTTGAAGCAGCTGTCCACGTGTTCATCACTAAGGATCTGCTTACAGGACAACTTTAAACAGCAGCATGGACTGGAGGTTTGCTGCACCCAGCATTTTTCCAGGGTGCCAGGTAAAAGCACAAATAGTGACGTTGCTGCAGTCACTTTCAGGTTCTGCTGCTTTTGAAACCAAACAGTTGCAATGTGCCCATCTCTATACCTAGTACCAAAGTTGCTTTTTAAATCTATGCTATCAAAATAAAAAAGGAAAACATCTTTTTGGGAGAAGTTCCCCAATCCTGAAACCGGACAGATATGACAGCCTGACCAATGATGGTTACTAAGTCTCATCCCATGGGCTGATGCACAGCAATTTATGAAGTGCTCAGTAACCAAAGCCCCAGCCAGGCAATTGTCTACAGTGAAAGCTGCTGTGCCAGAGCTGGGCTCCTCTATACCAGAGAGATTAACTTATCACCGAGTGACCTTTCCAAACAGCCACTGCTGACCAATTAGGAAAGAAATCTTCTACAAACCTGGATTTGCTATTTCCATATGTGATAGAGAAACACTCTCCCTCATTGCATCATTACAATGTAAGCTATTACAAATATGAAGGAGCAAAGAGAAAAGGAACAGACTAATCGGTGATGATGACTGACTCTTAGGTACCCATTCACAGCCTACAACGGAGACATTTCATTCGCTGCTCCTGCCTACAAAGCTAGCCCACCACATCATTTAATCCATTACCAGGGAAGACTGCCAATCCACTTAAAAACCCCAACAACTGAAATATGGAGCTCTGTCATTTCAGCTGTAGTCACTCAGCCTGACAAGCACAGGATATTCAAGAAGCTCCTTTGATAAACTAAATAGTCTCACACATCTCAGGATACACGGAATGGAAGAAAAGCTTGCACAGGTTGCATGCCAATTTTGAATACACCTATCCCCACTTCATCAGAAAGATCCATGAATGATATTAAAACAACTGAAGCCTTCCCTAAAGATCTTTCTTAAAAAAAAAAAAAAAAAACAAAACCACACACACAAAACCCCAAACCCAACAAAACAGTAAATTGATGTTCATTCCCTACTTCTTCAACCCTTGTCTTTTTAGAGCTTTTTTCCCCTCATACTAAATCCTAATTTTTTTTTTTTTTTCCTCTCCCCTGAACTCCTCCCAGCTTCACATCATCTTTCTTTGGTATTTAAAGCCAGAGGATGGCCTCACAAGCACTAGGTAAAAGAGAGTTAGTTACTCTATCTTATTATCTTATTTGACATTCCTATTAACACATCCCAGAAGAAAAACCTCACCTCAAACATTTGTTAGTGACTAATACCCACTGTTGACCGCATCGGTTTTGACCAAACTGCTCACTTGTTATTTGTCACTTACTCTGTGCATGTAATTCTCCATTCTTAATTGCAGACTACTTTATGTTTACAAACTTTTATGTTGCTGAAACCACATCTCATACATTGTTTATCATCCAGCACTCAAAATACCAAACAGTGCCAAGCAAAGGATGCACCTTTGTAAACCTCACAGAAGGTTTTCAAATAAAACTGTTAGTAATACCTATGCCTGAAATATTATTTTCTTAAAGTTGTGCACCCACCAAATAGCAATTTATTCCTGACCAGGTCTCCATTAATTTGCCTACAACAAAGTCACATACCTGTTTTTACTGTTTTCGTTCCTTTGAATACATACTTTTCAGATCATATCACTTTGACACAATCTGTTCTTGAAAAATCAGTGTTAACCACTTGTCATATTGTATTCAAACTGATTGAGAATTTGTCCAGTTACCTTTCCAGGTATCAAAGCTAGGCTGCTGGGCCTCTAGAACTCCTCAAATCCTCTTCCCATTCACTTTTTAAAGACATGTCCTCCTGCGGTATGATGGTACCTCTCAAAGTTGGTAATGGTTCAGAAACCATTTCAGGTAGCTTTTTAAACCTCTCAGATAAGGTCTGGCACTACCTACTACTACTCTGACCCTTGCGGGGCCTACAAGGGCATTGGGGGAGGAGAGAACACACTGAACTCCCACATCCCTGTACACCCCTTTATGCCAACATACACCCTACAGCTGTCTGCTAGCAAGTCTGACTATATGCTCACAAGCTCCGTTTTAATTTAACCTCTGCTTCAGAATAGCAACTAAAACATTCTACAGGAATAAATGGAGTATTATTTTAAACTTGGTTCTCTGTTATTCAATTTAAGAGATTGCTAGAGGTTAACACTTTTTTACTGCAACTTCTCCAAGCTACAGAATCGCCAGTCAAGTTCTAGAGCAAGAAAAGGAACTGCAACAACTTAATTCTAATGAAGGGAACTTCCCAAACTAAACCTTTTATGACAAAAATTAATTCATAGTTCCATGTTCCTAAGAGCAACCCAAGCTTTCAGAACTCTTTTCATTGATCACTGAAACCAATTTATGATTCTATTTCAACAAAATTGCTATTTCTGTACCACTGTTTATCCAATCCACAGAATTAACACAGGTTTCTGCAGGGAAACTATAGAATCCTTTTCTCCTCCCAATTCTTGTGACTCTGAAGATGGCTGTTCTAATGTAGTAACTTGTCATCTTGGAGTACAGACAGATTTTAACCACAGAAAGCAAAACCTAAATGAAAACTACTTAGCTGAGAGTACAATGAAATTTGAAGTTGAATTTGTAATACCTATATAAAATAAAGAAAAAAAAAATTATTTTTTTTTTTTAATCCAAATAAGAAGAGATGTTTCAGCACTATGTTTTTTTCTTCCACATGCCCCCTCCCCACCCAAATGCTAAACAATTGGAACTAGTTCTTTGAAAATAACTAGGTTAAGGTATATCTAGTCAGGATACTCTAATACTTGGGAGTATAGTACCTCCACTGATACTGTAAGAAACTTGTTTCAATGCAACAGGAAGATGCAAAATCAAATGCTGTAGGTATAACACTCTCCCAGTGTTATGGTATCAGCCACAGGGTAGACACACATCTCAAAAACAACAGTACACAGACAGCTGAATGTGTCTTTGCAAGTTCTTACTTGCTGTCTGCCCACTAAGCCTCAGCAGTATTACCACCATCATACACAATAAACAAATACATGATTTGCTCCTGTCTGAAGGCTTCTTCCTTGCGCAGACATGGAAGAGAAGGGTTCTGGAAAACTTCCTCACACAGAAGAATAAACTTCTGGCCAATACACATATACCATCACAAAGACCCCCTTATGTAAGGGCTGAATTCTTACGATATTGTCCAAAACACTGTATTTAAGTAATGCAGTGTGAATATAAGTAACTCGGTATCATGCATGTATCAAAATCCTTGACTTAATCTATTTAAGTGTGTAGTAATTTCCAGAAGCATTTTAAATTCCTATAAGCCAGTAATTTTTTTTAATGACTAGGATATATAGATAGATAGATAGATAGATGAAAGATGACACATTAAGGCATATCTTTTACACAGTAACATTATACATTTCTTTTCAGGCTTACCCTCCAGAAGGCCATCTGCTGTAATAGTTCCTATTTTCCAGACAGGCACTATTACAGACAGAAAATGAAGTGATTTTCTTAATATATTGAAGTATATGATATTGGCCAACTTACTTTGCTTCATCTTCTGCAAGTCACTAACTCTGCTCTTTGGAATTTTTATATGGTCTGTCTCAATTTTGTGTTCTTTCTGATTTTCCACATTTTCTTCAAAATTTAAGTGCTGGAGAGAATTTGGAGGTATCTGCTTCACAGTATCAGGATTTCCATCATTGTCGCTGTGCAAACCTACAGAATGAGGAAGCGTGTTTGGTTTTTACATGGTTCAAAAAGAAGGCTAGAATGTTACTGCAAAAGATAATTCATCACATTTTAATATGTAATCAATCCTAAGTCGTTACCTTCTCAGCTGATTTTCTGTATGTACTTAAGTGCTTGATGAAGCCCAGAACAATAATACGTTTATGTATTTTTTTTTATCCTCCTGCTGATTCTGCTTTTCAAATCCACTAAGCATCATTTATTGTTTCAAGAGCTATGATCTGAGGAGAAGGTTGCAGTAGGTCACAGAAGTTATGCTAAAAATAATAAGCAGAATCACAGGACTACATAACCGAGGAATAAAGAAAACCCTGGTCCCCTTGAAATTCACATCAACCTTCTGTTGATAAACTCTAAATTCAATGAAGTAAGCTTTTCACTTGCTACTTTTTATGTTTTCTCATTAATAAAAGTCAAAATGAAGGAATACCTCAGAACAACAAAAAGAAATGAACTATTTAAAAGATTTGACATTTGGAAATAATAAACTTTAAATGTATATACAGACTTTGAGCTCCCCAATTTTGGTATTCTAATCTGCTTACACATCCACTGCAAAAGGAAAGAAATTAATAAATACTTCTGTTGCCTTTTTTCAAAAGAACCAAAAATGGGCATAACAAAAAACTTCAAGCTGTTTGGTCACATCACAAATACGTAACAAATACGTTACATTTAATGTTTTTTAGCACAACAGTATTTGAACATGCCACTTGCAGTGCAGATATAACCTAACATTCTCTTTGACGTTAAAGCAAAGTGACTTGATCCACCAGGATTAAATATAAGGGTATTTTCTACAGATTTGTGTCCTTTCTAACTGTAATTCTTCTAAACCCTTTCACGACAGTACTCTTAGTTCTCTCATGTCCTAAGCCTCCCCCACATCACCCTCAAGTGAGCTGTTCACAGGCACAGGAGGACACTGAGCAAGCAATAGTACCACTGGTTTAATCTCTGAATATAACTGGCTACTAATAGATCAACAACCAACTCCTGATGATATGTTGCAGCCCTATCTAATTAGTACCCCTAAGGAGGAATACTAATTTCAATTTCTCTCCTCTGTCCAGTAGAGGAATCTTGAAGCACTTGTCTTTGAAACTTCTAACTCTCAAATTTGGCTGAAGTTGGTCAAAAGGCTCAGAAATTACTGGGCGGGGGGACAACGAAAAGAGATCGTACAGCCAGCAACCTCAGTGCCTCAGGAAGCCAGACTAAGAACACATTCAATCTTGCATCCTGCAGAAATTGATCGTTGTTTTTCATTTTGTAACCACATCAAACAAAAAAGGGGCTGGCCACCTACATCTAACATCATGATATCGTAGCAGATATTAAATGGTAAGTTTCCTACAAATAGTTGATTTGTCACCTGCAAATAAGAATTTTACCTGGTGCCAGATTTGGAGCATGGGGCTGTTCAGTTGGAAGATTTATAACAGGTTGATGACCTTCACTTTTAGGAGCTGAAATAAGTGGCTTCTTTAAAGCTAAAACAAAATACATGGACAAAAGCATTAACATGAAACAAACAGACACTATATACCAGGCCTTCCTCTTACAATCCTGTAATTTTTTTGTTGTTGTTGTTTTCTTGTTTTTAAACCACAGATGAAAATATAATTCAGGGGGCACGGGGGGGGGGGATCAGAAGCATTCAGTTTTGAGAAATCAAACCTCTAAAGCACAGTAAAAATTATCAGATTTTACACCTCACTTGAATTTTATTTCCATAGACAAATTTTAAAACTTTGCATTCACTATGAAACACATGGTATTCAAACAGAATATATATGCCACTAAGAAGCCAAATGTGGAAGTATTAGAATACTTCTAACCAGTGGGAGTATCTTCAGCTTTAGCAGGGTCATTATCTTCTATTTCAGGCATGCCTGCATCTCCTCCTGGTTTGATTTTCTCTGTAAGAGAAGAATAGGGTATTCTGCCTTAACCTTTAAGATTGAACAGTGAATTTCCCTCTTGTGGAAGGCTCTAAGACCAGTAGAAAAGTCCTTTATCCACAGAACATGTCCCATATTGATAATGCAACTACAACACTCCTTATATTGTACTGTCAAAGTCACTGAAGACTGCTTTGGAGCAGTGCTCCCAAAGTCAGTACAATTTTCAGAAAAGGATGGGAAACAGATGCGCTGCTCTTGGCAGCAGAGTAAGAGAAGCCTGCTGCAAGAAGCTGGCCGGAATAGACACTGAACTGATAGAAAAAGGTGCCGATTTAGCAGCACAAGAAATAGAAACAAAGGGAACCCGTCTGCCTTTTGGAGAGGCCTACAGGAAGGAAACAACCACAATAGTTACTCACTGAGAGCCTCCTGTACAGCTCCTGATAACCAAAGGACCCCACTGTTCCTGCTGACTTACGCAGCTACAGACTTCTCACACTGGTTTCAGTGCCCCTCACCTCCAGCCACTGTCTCTGTGCAGATTCCAGCTCTCCAATAGCATGTCCCTTCCCTAGCTCACCCCAAGACACATCTCACAGGGAGGGGAGAGGCCATCCCCAGTTCACAATTGGCCACATGAGCAAGGAGATGTGAATGAACCAACGAAGTGAACACAAAACTATGCAAGAAACTACTTTCATAAAAGGACCCAGAGAAAGGACATGCCAATCTCTGGATACCTATAAACTCTAACTTAGTACAATCACATGCAGCTAATCAAGTTATCTGAGCCAAAAAATTCATTGTTTTACTTCAGAGAAATGCATGATTCTGTCTGATAGCAAAAGGATACAACACAATTGGCACATTAGCTATCACAAGTGACCAAAAAAAAAAAAAAAGGAAATACCTTTGCCATTTACAACACGATCTGATGGCTGCTCATTCTTTACTGTGTTTTTATCTACTGCCTCTGGAACAGTCTTAGATATTGCCTGGTCATCATTATGGGGACTTACTTCAGTGTCTTTGCTGGACTGAATTTTTTGTGTGGCCTGTTAGAACAAATTCATAAGGAACCAATATTAAGCACATCCCTGAAAATTACAAAACAAACACCCTCAAATTCAAGATTACTTTGGTGTCCTGGTTTTGGCTGGGTTAGAGTTAATTTTCTTCCTAGTAGCTGGTATAGTGCTATGGTTTGGATTCAGGATGAGAAGAATGTTGAAAACACACTGATGTTTTCAGTTGTTGCTAAGTAATGTTTATACTAAGTCAAGGATTTTTCAGCTTCTCATGCCCAGCCAGCAAGAAGGCTGGAGGGGCACAAGAAGTTGGGAGGGGACACAGCGAGGGCAGCTGACCCAAACTGGCCAAAAGGGGTATTCCATACCACATGATGTCATACCCAGTATATAAACTGAGGGGAGTTGGCCTGGGGAGGATTGCTGCTTGGGAACTAACTGGATGTTGGTTGGCAAGTGGTGAGCAATTGTATTGTGCATCACTTATTTTGTATATTCCAATTCTTCCATTATTATCACTGTCATTTTATTATTGTCAATAGTATCATTATTATTTTCTTCCTTTCTGTCCTATTAAACTGTTCTTATCTTAACCCACAAGTTTTACTTTTTTCCCCAACTATCTCCCCCACCCAGTGGAATGGGGGGCGGGGAAAGTGAGCAAGCAGCTGCGTCATGCTTTGTTGCTGGCTAGGGTTAAACCACAACACTTTGGGTAAGCAAAATCACTTTTATGAATTAGGTGATCACCAAAGCAAACAACAGCAGAAGTCCTCTATATACAAATCTGAATCCTGAGGGTAGGAGATGAGAGTATGGACACATAACTGAACAGAAAATGTAAAATACAGCATGGCTGTATGACATTTATATTGGCATACACAGCTCTTAAGTATAACACAAAGAGGTTAAGACATCATTGGCCTTAAGCCTTGGGTCAGAGACTTTGAAGCAACTCTAGATTTTAAGAAAAGATCTGACTGAAATCTACTTTTAAGTCTGCCTTGTTACTTGAAATGTTTGTAAACGGAGATAAAGCAAGGAAATGAAATTTTAAGAAAAGCAGGTTATTTCATCTGTTTGTAGGAAAGAGGCCCATATTCTTTTGGCAGCTTGCACGATATAATTACACCCTTGATACCATTCAAATACCATTGTTATTTGCATCACATTAGCACCTCGAGGCCTCAACAGAGATCAGGTTCACCTTTGCAATAACCTGTATAAGGCTGTAAGAACATAGATCCTACCCTGGAGAGCTACAAAGTAATACCCATTTTACAGAGAAGAAGCTGAAATCCTTAGACATGATGTCATGTAGGAAGGCTGTAGCAGAGCAAAGCTTTAAGCCTGATCTTCAAGGCTCAGTTCACTGACCGAGCAAAACAGGCAGATGTTCTTACACTAATACCCATTTAGGGCTGCTCAGGACAATATTTGACAAAAAGTTAGGGAAGAAATGTTCAAGGCCTCCATATAGCTGAAATGCTGAGTCAAATAGCAGACTTTAGGCCCTTCTAATTCAACAAAGAAACTTGGCTGCGCATTACCTTTTGTTCCTGCACAACTTGATCCATTAATTTCTTTATGTTTTCTTCATGTTGCAGTCTCATTTCCTTGATCTGCTGCCCACACTGTAGACTTGATTAGAAAGAGATTATTAGCTGTATTTCATTCGTTGTATCTGCTCTCCCATAAATAAAATAGGGGTAAAAATATGAAGTGGCACAAAAAGCCAAACCTGAGATATAACTAGAATAGTCTGTCCCAAAAGCCTTGTCCTGGAATGTGTATGGAGTGGAAATGGACTGAATACAGAAAGAAAGCAGAACTGGAAAAAATAGGGACAGAGCAGAAAAACAGTAAAATAAACAGAATGGCCTTGAACATATTTCCTCCAAAACCTGGAAAGCAACCGAAAACTCAAGCTTCACAGTTAATCTGTCATCAGCATATATTAATTCCACTAGGAAAGCAATCTCTCTCTCATGGCTGTCAACACAGAAGATCCACAACTACTACTATCAGTTACTGCTACCAACTCAAATAACAAGATCTGAATAACACAGCTAAGTGTCCCAACTTCTCTAACAAGCCACACAGAGATCAACCCAATTCAACAAAACTCATGTGTCCTACCAACCTGCAAATACTCAACATAGCACATAAAGAATATAATTTTGTGTGTGAAAGTTTCAAACATTTTCTCAAGTGTTAATCTCCCCATCCCTCAAAGCTTCAGAAGTAGTTGTTCTCCCTGCTTCTACATCATAAACTTACAAGGCTGAGATCAACTTAAAATTTCAATATACACAATGCTTTCAACTTCAATTGAAAAAAATAAAATTACACTTTTAGAAAGACAACAATTAACAACCCTGGCAGCTTACAGAACTGCGTTGATTAAACTCTTTCAAGTATTTGTTAACCAAAATCTCCATGTTATAAAAAAATGCATTGACTTAAAAATTGTCCAACGCTGAAAAATTCCAGTAAGTCAGATTTTTCTCAGATCATATCTCACTTTTTTTTGGGGGGGGGGGGGGGAGTAGAACACAAAAAATAAAACTTCAAAAATCAAACAACTAGCTAAGTCAAAGTTACATCACCAAGTTAGTACACTCAAGTTTGAGGATCAATAGGAATAGGATTAATTTGCACTTTTTAATAAACACAGACCTCCATTACACACACGCAAACCTACAGTTACTAACATTCTTGAAGACATACCTATCATATTCCAATCTCCTTGTAAGGTAAGTATTGTTCTTCTTGTACTCGTGAAGCTGATCTTCCTGTCGAATGAATTCCTGACGTAATTCTGCTAGTTGTTCTAGATGAAGAAGCAAAAATCAACATGAATATAGAAATATAAGAAAAAAATGCCCCATGGTGGATACAAGTTTCAATATTGCTATATAGGTTAAAAATGTCCTCAAGTTCTGTTATTTATTCTAGATATACTTTAAAGATTCTTAAACTAACTTGAAAAAAATGCCAATTTACTCATGTATGCCAGACGTCACTATGAATTACAGAACAATTCTTCTGATACTATGCCTGTCCTGGTTTCAGGGTTTGCTAGGGAAAACAGTCTGGGTTATTCCTGCCTCAGGCAAAGACAAACCCATTCATGGGATTGCTTTTGCTCAAGGACCTGGGTGCACTTGGTGGATAATGCGGGAGGATGGGGAAACCTGATCCGTACCTCAAGGGGATTTGATTTTGGGTGAGAATAGACAATGAATTAAATTGTATGATGTTAATTGTGTATCATTACTTCTACGGTGGCTCTATGCTGTATCATGGGTATTACAGTAAAAATCACACAGATTAATGAAGAATGAACTTTGATGAAACTGAGCAAAGTGCAGCGATGATAGAACCATAACTGGCTTCAGCATGCAACAATCCAACACCACACACCGTATTTCCTGCCCTGAAAGACTGTTATGACAGATGGAGCCCAAAGTCATGGACTAAATTAACTCAACGGACATTTTATAGGGCTGGCCAATAGACTAAGGGAATGATATCTGTATGTATATATCAAGAGACAGGAAAGGTGGTGGTGATTAATTGGGATATACTGGAAAGCGTGGGACCTGGGCATGACATAAATGTCCTGGTTTCAGCTGGGATAGAGTTAATTTTCTTCCTAGTAGCTGGTACAGTGCTGTGTTCTGCATTTAGTGTGAGAATAATGTTGATAACACACTGGTGTTTTAGTTGTTGCTAAGTAGCAATAGCAGGATAACTAAGTTAAGGATTTTTCAATTTTCCATGCTCTGCCAGCAAGCAGGTATACAAGAAGCTGGGAGGGAGCACAGCCAGGAGAGCTGACCTGAACTAGCCAAAGTGATATTCCATAAAAATACTATAGAGGGAGTTGGCCAGGAGGGGCAGATCGCTGCTCCAGGACTGGCTGGGCATTGGTCAGCAGTGGTGAGCAATTGCATTGTGCATCATTTGTTCTTTCTTGGGTTTTATTTCTCTCTGTTATCTTCCTTTCCATTACAATTCTTCTTATATTTTATTTCAGTTATTAAACTGTTCTTATCTCAACCCACAACTTTTACTTTTTTTCTGATTCTCCTCCCCACCCCACCAGCGAGGGGGGAGGAGTGAGCGAGCAGCTGTGTGGTGCTTAGTTGCCAGCCGGTGTTAACCCACAACCACTCCTAAATTTTTCTTTACCTTTTGCTTCAGAAGACTTACATAATGCTATTTCACCTCTCTGTTGGAAATCTCCTTAATTTCCTGAAAGATTCTGTTATTCCGAGTAACACAAAAGTACTACTAGGTTACTTTACGCGTGATTGTCAAATACTCTTTTTCTGCAATAAATGTACAAAAGAAAGTACCTTCACACTATCTATAAAACCAATACATATTTCTTGTCTTCACTAGTAATTGTTCTAGAATTTCTTCTCCCTGCTCCTCAGGCTACCAAAAATTATTAAGCTTCCTACTATTTTAAGTTTCAACTACATAGATACAGGCAGAAATGCCAAGCACATTGTCTGCAGGCATGTTCAAATTTTGGCATTAGACATTCCAGGTCACTCTGAAACCCATACAGTAAGATTACAGGCATTGTGATCGTGTCTGTATATATCAGCCTTAAAAGATGTTTTTTGGACCTTTTCTAACCCAGCATGAGTATCACAACATCGCTGATCCAACCTATACTAAACTGTGTATTTGGTCATGAAAATGATTCAAATATCTTGGAAGTAAGCAGTGCCAGAATACATGTTCTTTCTGCAGACAGTAGAGCAAAGTCTACAAGAGCCAAACCTACACTTACTCAGACAGGTAATAAACAAATATAATGAAATTTCACATTATGCGATGTTCCAGCATCCCTTGATCTTTCATTTAAAAATGTATGCTGCAGTACCCAGGCTGTTAAAAAAATACACAGCTTCACAGTCTGCCAAACTACTGTTTGGCCATAAATTCCTTACCCTTTAAACGATGTATGTCTGCCATTTGATACGATATGTTGTTCTGCAGCTTAATCTGAAAGGAAGAAATGGCTATGTAAATATAAACAATCAGCAGGTTAGATAGGTTTTAGACTGTGAAGACTCAAGTGTGCTTGTTTTCATTGTAAAGACAATGTATGTAAAGGATTATCAGAATGACATATACAAAGTTCTTGTAAATATAAGTAATGTATATTTAGTTGCCTATAAGTGATATCACCAACCTAAACACTCTATTTAGGCTTTGCTAACAAGGACTTAAATTTATTTCCAGAACATATTTCTATCCAAAAAGTAGATTCTGTCAGGACTAAAATAAACACACTGCATTCTGATACTGCAGAAGGAGACGGTGAATTTCCAATGTCAAAGCATAAGTGTATAAAAATAAACACACAGCATCATTAGCAAAAAATTTTTACCTAATGTGTATTTAAAGTAAAATTTTTGTGTGATGCTACCTAATATTCATAACACATGTTTTATTTTTAAGAGAGAATCTAACACCAGTAGACTTCCACAACAGCTTTTAATTTGGTATTTTTAGTAAGGAAAAAATAGCAGTTACAATAAATAAGAAATGCGTGTACACAAAGTCATTAAGTAAAGATGCTTTGCCTTGTTCTTACATAAAGACATATGTAAAGACAAAATATAGCAGGAATGAAGAGAAAGACGCACATGTAGAACATACTGAAAAAGCATGGAAAAAAACCACGACTGTCATCAGCCAACACTGATGCTGTAATTATTTTTCTTGTAGTTTCATGATCGATATAATGGTAACTCTAGAAAGGGTGCTGAAACAGGGTTGTCATTCTTGGGTTACAAGGTCAGAACTACCTCTCAGAATACCAAAATGAAGTACAAGCACACCTACTCTGGCACGGGGGTCACACACACACAGGCTATTACAATCCCCACACAGATTCTGAAGCTCAGCGTCTGAGTCAGTTACCTACATTTCCTGTCAAAACAAACAAAAAAGACATATGCCCTCTCTTTAAGACTTCCTCCACCCACCTCTACCTTCCCTTTTATCAAATTATTAATTTCTTTAAAAATGTTTCAAGTAATGTTTTTGTTTTTAAAAGAGGCGCTCAAACTCTGGACTGACTCAATTTGTCCCATATGGGTTGAGACAGGCATTTATAACTTTAGGAACTATGGCCATAGAAGAACTGCTGAAATCGTGATTTTCTGCAGAACAGAGTGTACACCAAGGCATGCATCCAACAGCTCCAGTCACATAATAGAGGCTCCTTATGAAACAGAGTGCTCCATCGAGAGTTTTGTTTGTGCCAGACTGCAGTATCCTGGCTCATCCCTAGCAGCAATGCACACATGGGCAGTGCTGGCAGCAAACCTTGCCCCATGGCTGAGAACAAAAGCCAAGAGGGTTTCTGGAGTGCAGAGAGGCACCACTGCGAGCCCAGCCACTTCACAAGGCTTTTCCCAAAAAAAGAAAGAGTGGCAGATGATGCAGTCTTGTGGTAACCCGAGAACTCTGACCATACTGCTCTATGATATAAAATAAGAACACCCAATAGGGACACTTAAGGAGCCTTCTCAGCACATCAGAAAGCCACTCATCTGAGAAGCAGTTACACATGTGCTCTGCCCACCAAGACATTTAAGGCACACTACTTACAGGATGCACAAAGAACAATACTCTATTAAATGAAAGCCTGCGTTGGACTTCCTGTGCTTTATTTCCAAAGTGCAAGTAACCCCTGCAGTGGGGGCTTCACACAGAAGCACAAGACAAAAGTAACGGCCAAGCCTTTCTATTCCAACAGGTGCCCATCTTGCCAGCTCTCCATCGAATGGACACGGGGACAGGGGAACAGACACAAAAAGAGCAATTTGTTGAACATTAATGAAAAAGTATCCTTCACTATTTTGCAAAGCCACTGGCAATAACAATTTTTTCCTGTCTTCCACTCTTATGCAGTTCTCTCCCAGAACCCAATGTACAAACAAAGGAGATCCTGGGAAGCAGCGGGTTCCATTTTCAAACCTCCATCTATCAGAATTCATAATACATAAAGCCTTCTTACTGGCTTGCTTCTGTTCATGCTATAAAACATTTCACTTGCCATGGGCTTGGGGAGGGCTGCCTGTCTGTTAACAGGAGTTTGATTTGAAGATAGCGTCAGTTTTATCACACAATCTTTCATTTTGGCGATTTTGACTTTCAGAGACAAGTGACAGAATTTATATCCAAAACAGCTCAGCTGACAGCAAATGTCCCTCATCAGAAGGATAGAAAGGGAAGATGATGTCTTATGATTCATGGGATCTGTTCCACCTACACATGCAAAAAAACCCACACTCCACAAACCATGGCGCAAGTCCAGTTCTTTCTGAGCTGTGTCCTCCTTGAGTCTAGACCTATTTGTACTGTTCATATTTCTCAGTGGCTTCTCAGATCCTTTCCAAAGCAGCTGGGATGTGTAAAAGAAATTCTCTGTAGCCCAATGAGCTCTGAACAGGAAAAAAACATCAAAAATCTTGTGCATGCTGGAGCTACGTACATGCAAGGCAACCTTCCAGTGCTGTCTGAAGTGTTAACAGTCTTGTCATATATTGAAAGGCACTGTGAGAAAAAAAGTTATAAACACGCTGGAGCTTATATCTATGTATGGCAGGACAGAACACAGGTGGTATTACTTCCTGATGAAGTAAGTGATGAACTGTAAATATCCACACATATTTCCCTGGGAGTCATTTCTTTATCTAGCAAGAACACCCTCTGAATTGCCTATCAAAGCAGGACGAGCAGATGTCCATATTCCTCTGTGGAGCTTCACAAGCCTGGGCATTCCCAACGCATTGCTAGGGCATGTGTTGAACAGCACAGGAAAGCTGTTTAAAAGTCTATATGCCACAATTGCATGATCCTTCTACTATTGTCAACTGCCTTTTTCAGAATAGACAGTGCTATCATCAGGCAATTAGTACAGATGACGTTATCATCAGGAACGTGCGGTAAGATTGGAAGATGCACTCAACATCACTGCTGTAAAGCTACAGCTTTGCGCACTGAGGAGCTATCAAGGAGTTTTGGCAACAAAGAACACAACCAGCTGCTCCCAAGGATGTTTTACTGAACAGTTTCATCCTATGAAGCACCATTTCTAGGCACCAGCTAAGGGGCAAGGCTGTATTACACACCTGGTGTTGCCAGCAACAGCTTTGGAATGAGAAAGGCATGCTCTTGAGAACTGCAACAGCAAATACAGAGCTATGAACCCCTACACACTGGATGGTTGCCATTTGGAAGCTCTCCACCACAAATTCCTGCCATTCAATCATTTTATTGAGCCTATTGCAAAGGGACGTGTAAAACTATGCAAAAAAAAGTATCCTCATGGTATGCTACAAAAAAGCATGAAATACTGAGTAAACTAATGCTACTTCTGCATGCATCACCTCCCCAAACACTGGGGCAATCACTACTCCTGTTTGCCTCCCAAGAGGAGCTCCAAAAGAGGAGAACTCCTCCGGTTTGTTCCAAGGTCCAGCAGACCATCACAAGCTTACCAAGAGGAGCACAGGGTGACAGGAGAAGAGAATTCCCAAGAAGTCATGCTTTTTTTTAACACAAGACACTAGGTCACACTACTACATTTGCTCATAAGAGCAAACAATATTCTGGTGCAGCGTGACTGGCTTGTTAGGCATACAGTGGGAGGGAGGAGAGAGACGAGGGTTTGGGCTTGACTACAGATATCACTGAGCTAGAAGGAAGCTGCCCGCAGAAATTCAAGTTGCCTCAACACTGGGGAATGCACACTTAATTTACATGACCACAAGGCAAAGAATCTCTTATGAAGACATAGGAGCATAAAACAGAATTGACACTGTGAACCACCAGAGTAGCATCTTCCAAATGCATTTTCTATGAAATAAGCCTAGATCTGTTGTGATCACTTGACACCCTGGGAATTACCAGTCCTGGTGTTATTACAGCTCCTGAATTTCACAAATGTACTAAGATCACTGGTAAAACCCAGTTTGTTCGAAGAACATCCTTGCCTAATTCTATTTTGAGACAAAAAAATTACCATTCAAGCCTTTTTTGGTCAGACACTTTATGCCTACTAGTCAGTGGTTTTTTTGGTAACAGATCTTTATTCTCTACTCTCTAAAGTACACTCACTTAAAGGGTTTTTTTTAGAAAAAGAAATAGGATTGCTGCCACTGAGAACGTGGCAGTAGCTGACATGGGAGCAAGAGAGAAAGGGACAGCAACTCGTTTTTGATGAAACATACTGCTATTCTTGCCTATTAAAGCACATTGAACATTTTGAACACAAGAAGAGAGGATATTCAAAAGCAGCTAGCTCACATGACCTTAAATGGTAGCTTCTAGAACAAAGAACAAGGATACAGGACATATACTGCAGTATGCATACACTTAACAATAAAATCAATTTGTGATGTTTACTAGTCTCATTTTTCTTGCTCCCCTCCTGCTCTGTCTGCCCTGTGAGATGCCAGACTTTGAGAGCATTCAAAGACCAGCCAGATTTATGGAGAACACCACAGTGGTCAGGTGCAGGCAGGTGCAGCTCAACAGCACCTCAGTTTATATCATGTGCATCAAAATGGGCTCTGGCTTCCAGTAACCCTTGTTAGACACCCTGACTTAGCACTTGCATTTTCTCTCCTGGTGTCCTACAGTAAATCATCACAGATTTAAAAAAAAAAAAAAAAATACAGTTTTCTTGTATTAAAAGCAAGCCTCGCCGTGCAGCCCAATAATTGATAGCTTACTTGAATACCACCAGTGGAGTTTTACACCTGGCAGTCAGTTACAACAGCACATGAAACAAGCTCCTTGCCCTATGAACACAGGCTGAATCATAAGAACACAAAATCAACTTTACCTACATAAAGAACATCCGTACTGCAAATACCCACCAATATTACTTCCCTGGAATATCCTTAGCCACTTCTCCAACAGCCTGCAGCTTGGAGGCAGTTTCAATGGATTTATCAACCTTCAGCAGACCTCCTCCATTAATTTGTCCAGTCTAGCCATGCACTCATGTTATTTTACTATCCTCAACAGCCGGAGAAAGGGAGTTCCGGGTCGGTGCTGTGACTGACCACCTCCTGCGTTTTCAAACTACTACCATCTCTGAATGCTTGCTTTTACCAAAGAGGGCAATGAACAACTAAACCTATTTGCCCTCTATTCGCATGTAAAAGTTCAATTTAAAAAAAGAAACAACACAACAAAACAACAAAAAAACCAAAACAAAACCCCAACAGTTTAGAAAACTACAATTTTCTGGCTTTTACAAGCGGAAGCATCTTTGTTAAAACCTAACTGCTTTGAGTTCAGCATCTCTTACTCATCAGACCTAACTATTTTGATCTCTGTATAGAATACTTATTTATAAATTAAACTAGATTTTGTAGTATCATAATATATTTATCGCAATGGTGTTAGTTGCATTTATTTCCAACAGAGAGCACCAATATCCACCATTACATATCTAATCAGGCTTTTTATTCCAATCTCAGAAATGAAAAAAAATTTTTAAAAAAGTGTTTGCTGAACACACAAATGGCTTAATTTTAATGGTTCAGTAGGAAAGAACACATAACTTTAATACAAACTAAATCAGTTTGAAGGACTCCATAATTCTGTAATGAGCCATGTATGTGTGCAGATTTTTCTGTGACAATTAAATGTATTTTCTTATAGTGCTCATCAGATGTGTGATATGAAAGGGCCAGAAAAACAAACTCATCTAGTAATAAGCCTGAGAGTGTAATATTTCCATGAATCCTACTGTGATAAACAGCGTTCAATTAGCAGAATTATGAACTGCATGCAAATAGAGTACACGCTACCATACACGACTGAGTAAAAGAACTTGTCTGCCTAACTCCTCTTTACAGAGTTGCCTGTGATGATTATGAAAGTGGAACAGTGAAAGTTGATGCATTCACTCATTTTCCCTTCCACAACAAAAGAAATTCCCAGGCCACCTCCACATAAAAGGGCAAGCTGAATTTTGTATTAGCTTGTCTCTTTGCAGCTAAAGGAAATGACACGTAATGTCAGCAGCAAGAACTTTCCCCAAGTGTATGCTGGCTGCATAAGAACCAGACCTTGATGTGCAAGGCATTTTGAGACCGACAGCGAGAACAAGCTCAGGGGTGCTACGCTGCAACATTATACTCGATTCGTTTTCCTTAAGGCCAAGCAAACTGTAGTTTTAAGGCTGCATATAGCTTTTTGACTGATCGCGAAAGACGAAATAATCTCAGCAGAAGAGGAAAGCTCATAAAAAAAATTAAAAATAGCCGCCTGGAAGACAGTGAGCTCTCGGTGTTTTCACCGTTAGCACACACACTGCCTTTGCTAGACATTTTCAGCTCTTTTCTGGGATGCCTTCAGAAACCCCAGCGTACAGCAAGTGTCCCGACGGCAACCAAAGCCAACGCACCAGCTCTAGAAACCAGTGCCTTCGGGGGCTTATTCCACCCTCAGGCTGCAGGCGCTGCACGGACACGGGACCGAGGGTGCCCCCCCCGGGCAGAGCCACCCCGCAGGGCGCCGGGGGACCCTCCCGCCGTCCCCGGGGCCCGGCCGCACGCTCCACTCTACCTTGCTGTCCTCGCACTTCTTCACCTGGCCGTCCCTGGCCTGCAGCTGGCTGCTCAGGTGGCTGTAGTCGGCCTCCTTCTGCTCCAGCTGCTTCTTGTGGGAGTCGACCTTGCCCATCAGGTCCGAGTTCCTCTTCTCCAGGCGCCCCCGGGCCACCTCGGTGCGCTTGGCCTGGCTCTGCAGCTCCGCCACCTCCTCCTGCAGCAGGGCCTGGCGGGACGAGGCGTTCCAGCAGTTGAAGGCGAGGATGGCGATCACCACCAGCAGCGCCACGAAGACGAGGGAAGGCAGACGGCCGCCCCTCCGGTTGGCCCCGAAGCCCACCATGGGGGAGGCCGCCGGGCGGGGGCTTCACCCGCTCACCGCCTCCGCCCGCACCTGAGAGGGGAGAAGCAGGGACGCGGCGGGGCGGAAAGGCCGCTCAGGGAGCCGGACGGCGGGCGGAGGCGCTGCCCCAGGGGGCCGGGGGCATCCCCGGCGGC